GGACTACAGGCGTGTGCCACCACACCCAGCTCTTAGGGCTGCCTAGGACTCCAGCCCAAGTTCCCCTGGTGGCCTCAGCCTGCTGAGTAGCACAGTCTACCAGTACCCACCGAGGCAGTTGGGCCTGATGGCTATTTTTAATCCCCATTTTACGTATTAGCAGACTGAGGCTCAGTAATGAGTTCGTAATGGCTGGTCAACGCAACTCAAATGGAAATCCATGGCAATCGAGTTCCATCCTCTGTCTCTGGGCATCAGTTTCCCGCTCCATGAGAGGGAGAATAGTCCCCACTCACCTCTCTTCCTCTACGTGTTCCCTTCCCCCAGAGAACGCGAGTACTGAACAGCAAGTGTGGCTCTCCTGGGAGGCAGCGGGGCTTAGAAATCAATGGTTTTCCTGGGTATTTTCATTTCAATCACAATAGCTACTCTTAGAATTGGCCATGGGGGAATTTATTTTATTGGAAGTGAGACTGCATTGTATTGATTCAGGAGAAATAAAATATATTAAGCCAATGAATTCAGAAGGGAGGTCGGGAGGAGCAGAGAGGACAAGAAGAGACAGCGTGTGCTGAGTGCCACCTCCAGAGATCATTCCAGAACACAGCAGATGGAGCCGGGAGTCTGAGGGAGACCAGACTGGCAGCCCTCTTTCAGTGGCCCTTGTTACAGAGTCCCTTGGTGTTATGAAAGGGCCTCACACAAATGAGGTAGACAGGGAGTGAGCCCCACTTTGAAGGGGTGGGGCAGGGAGCCAGCATTGGGGGGACTGGACGTGGATGGTGAGAGCACAAGCAGGTGGCCTTGGGCTACGACAGGCCTTGGCCTGTTGTACCCCAGTGTGTCCCCAGGGTGTGGGAATCCATGCTGCCACTCCTGTTGGAGGTGGTGGCTCTACCTAAGTGGGACGTTAGGGAGAAACCCTACTGGTAAGTGGCCCCAGGCTCTCTGGACTGTCGCATGTCCCTTCCAGGGTTCCCAGGCTCCCTGATAGGAAACTCAAAGGTAACCCATTGCAGAGTTAGACCCCTCCCTGTGGGCCAACCAGAGACCTGAATTCATGATCTTGCCTTTCTTTAAACAATTTTTTAAAAATTTGCTGTAGGGCACATGTACTCACCAGAGAAAGAGAAAGAGAGAGAGAGAAAAGAGAAAGCATGCCCCAGGGGGAATGGCCAGGCCACAATCCCTTCTCCATTCTGTCAGGATTTGTGGTATGCACGCACACCCAGCATATTTGTGAAGCTGCTGGTCCAGGACTCAAACCGTACAGCCAGCCATGCGGGATCCAGAGCCTTAACCTCCACACCCCTAGCTGGCCCGTGGTCTAGCTTTTCTTAGTGTACCTCTGACCTCTTTCTTTGCCCCAAACCTAGTTCTTTCCATTCCAACTGAGAAAGATACAGTAAACTCACCCTCAAATGACACAGCCCTCCCTCGCCAGGCAAGCAGTACACTGGGCTTGGGTTCTGAATGCCCTGGGGTAGTCTTATTTCTCTTAAGTTTATAGTGAAGAGAGCCCAGCCTGAGAGTCTGAGCTCAAACTGTGGCTCCAGGGGCTTTGGTGAACTGGGTAAGCCTGTCAGAAATGTCTGTCTTGGTAGCTTTTCCCAGCCTCAGCTGCCACTGGAGGGGATGGCACCTGGGCGGAGGAGGTATCACTGCCACCCTCTGTGCACGCGCCATGCGGCCAAGCTGTTGCTCACTACTCTTCCTTACACTCGCCCACTCCTCTGTGGACGGGGTGCTCATTTTGTAATGAGCGTGGAGAGGGTGGGTGACTCGGCCAAGGCCACGCTGCCGGCAGACGAGGGGTCAGCACTGGAATGCTGGTTCCTCTGTGTGTTTTATCTACGCTAGTTTGGCTCCTTCTGTGTGAGAGATGACGTTCTGTAGCTTGACTGTGCATTTCCTATGGTTTTCACCATAACCCCGGAGAATCGTTCCTCGTAAGAATTCAGAAATCCCAAGATAACCTAGACCCCCTTTTAAAAGACGTGAATTCTTTCTAAAATGAAAGATTCTGAGATGGATGGAGGAACGCGAAGGCCAGTTTGCTAGCAGGCACATTTTACATTTGATCTGCTCAAGAGCCAACGGAGACAGAAACTGCCCCACTCCCCATCAATGGTCAATGGAACCCACTTCCCGGTTCAAGGAAGGTAATGAGCGGGCAGGTTTCTAAAACAGAGGAGCGTATGTGCAGGCAAGGGACTGGGGTGAGCAAGGGGAAATGGGGGACCTTGTTTCTGTGATTTGTGTCTAAAGCACCATAGGCATGAGCCCAGCAGGCCTCCAGGGGATGGACTTCCCCACAGTCTAGAGGCACGCCACACAGCTGGGCCACCCAGAGCTCTCTGGCTCAAACCACCATCCTAGGGGACCGGCAGCCACTGACCGCTCCTCACATGGGGCCTGGGGAGTGGGATGGCAGGGACCAGAGCAGCAGCAGCCTAGTCTCCAGCCCGGGAGAGAGGACAGGGCCACCTGCACCCCTGTCCCCCCCGCCCCCACCAGCCATAGATCCTGACCCTACTCACCCGCCATCACCAGAAGCGCACACAATAGCAGAAGTGCCATGATCCCCACACAGAGCAGTGGCTGCAGCTGCCGGACAGTCCCTTCCATGTAGGCAACCCTTTTATAAGAGGCCCCCTCCCACCCCGCTCAGTTCCAGCATAAGCAACATGCTTCCCACACTTCCTCTTTTCTGGTGTAGAGGAATTTTTTATTTTTTAATTCAACTTCACTTTTAAATGTTCCGGAAAGCAGGGATGCTCTCTAGAGAGACCGAGCGAGTGGGAAAGAGATCATAGAAAGCGCACCCCCCCTGGGGCGTGGTCACACCGCAATCCCTTCTGCATCTCCCCATCCAGTTGGGATGGGGGCATGCACACACACAAGTGTGCATGCACACAAATCCAGCATGCTTTTCAAGCCACGAGGGTAGAATTCCAAGCATGGTTGGCCATGTGGGATACGACTCCCTTAACTGCTGGCTGCAAAGCTGGTCCCAATAAATCCCCTATTGATGGATATGTGGAACACGTCCAGTGTTTTACTATTCTAGATTATACGGTACATATAGATCTCGGTTCATGTCCAGAATTGTTTCCGTGGGACCTGTTCCTAACTTGCTGGCAGAGCACACACACACAGTGCCAAGGGGATTGGTGTGTGCTGACAACTTACCCTGCAGATGGTCTGGCCCAGTTTGCACATGAGAAAATCCTAGTGAGGCAAATGGTGTGGACCTACCCAACTAGGGTGGAGGTGCTGATGGCAGGAACACACAGGCACTGCACCAAAACAAGCTGCCACGAGGGCTGCGTGATGGCCTTGTCCACACACAGCAGAACTTGGTTTTCTCCGGTGCCTGTCAGATGAGCGGTCAAGGACACACAGCCCAGGCCAGCCTCTGCACGGCCAGTCAGTCAGCTCAAGTATGTCAGCGAGAAGGTGAGTCCCTGCTGGAGGTGCTCTGTGTTCTACTGTCTCTCTCTCTGGTTTTTTGTTCTTTGTTTTTCCCTTTTTTAAAGTTGTTTTTAATTGCCTAAAGGCATGTGCACTTGTCAGAGAGAGGCACAGAGCCAGAAAGAGAGGGAAAGGGAGGAAGCATTCCCCAGTGGGGAGTGGCCATGTTTTAATCCCTCCTCTGCCATTTCTCCATTCCGTTGGGATTTGGGGGATGCACACACACGTGGCTGGTGTGTTTTTCAAGTCCCCAGGGCTGAGATTTAAACTGAGGTTGACCATGTGGAATCTGGTTCCCTTAACAACGGGGCTGGCCGTCTTCCCTCTCTGTTTTAAATTCCATTGTTGCCTTTGCTCTTAGACTCGCCAACCATATCATATGTGAAAAAACAACATGGAAAATAATTAAACAGTGGTCAAACTACGTAACTCCGGTTCATTGTTTTATCTAACCACTTCATTGAGATATGATTCACATGTAATAAGCTATACATATTTAATGCATACAACTTGACGAGTTGGGGGTAAACATACACCCATAAAACTACCACCACCAAGGCCACAGACCATGGATGTAGCCTCCTGGTGCATTCTTTCATTTTTTAGGTTTTTGCCATAGGACATGTGCACTCACCGAGAGAGACAGAGAAGCAAAGTGAGAAATCACCCCTCCTGCAGGGATGGCCAGGGACATGTACACACACGTGCCCAGCATGATTTCCAAGCCATTGTGGTTAGCCACCTGCTGGTGGGTCTGGCATATTCTTTAACACACTTCCCCTACGTATGTCCAATAGTCAGCCCTTCACATTCTCACCAGTGAGGTCCTTTAGCCTGAAGACAGTCTTGCCTGGGCTCTTTTACTTCTTTATTTGATTGCCAGAGAGCATGTATGCTCACTAGAGAAAGAGGAAGAGGAGGAGAGAGAAAGTACCCTGCTGTGGGGTGTGGTCACCCTGCAATCCTTTCTTCCATTTCTCCTTCCCATTAGGATTTTGGGCACACACAACCAGCGTGTTTTTCAAGCTGCCAGGGTTGGGATTTGAGCCAGGATCAGCCATGGGAGATCTGGTTTCTAATACTCAGTTCCTAACCACTGCATTACAAGGCTGTCTCTGGATCTGGATTCTTGCTGGGACATATAGCTCAACCAGGACCCAAGCCAGCCACTGTCTGGTATGGCTTGAGCAGGAGCCAGAACCACAAGCCCTTGTTGTTTCCCGAAGGTTTTTTCCTAATGGGAGAGAAGGCATGATATTGATGCTGCTAAGAGGCCTTAAAACCCTGGCCCGAGCGTGGTCCTTCACACCAAATCTCCACTGCAGGGACAGTATTGTGTTTACTGGGGGAGTGGCAAGGGAACTGGCAGAAGTGAAAGAGCAATGATCTGCTGGTTCATTGGAAAAGTCATGACATATTTTTCTGTACAAAAATGCGTTAGGACTTTTCAGATGACCCAGTATCAGAAGCTCACCTCGTCCAGGAGGTGGAGCATAGCCTCCCTCGTAGTCACTCTTTTCTCTGGTTGCCTTAACACCTGCGCTGGTTCGCTGCGACTGCTGTAACCAAGTCCACGAACTGGGGGCGTGAACAACAGAAATGTCTTTCCTCACATTCTGGAGGCTGGAAGTCTGGGATGCAGGTGTCAGCTAGGCTCATTTCTTCTGACGCCTCTGTCCTTGGTTTGAGGCCCTCTGTCTTCATCCCGTGTCTTCACATGGCCTCTCCTCTGTGCCGGGTCCTGACCTCATCTTCTTACAGGGAACCAACCACAGAGGACCAGGGTCTGTGCCAATGCCCTTGTTTAACGTCATTACCTCTTTAAGGGCTCTATCTCCAAACATAGTCACATTCTCCCTTTTAAAAAAAAGTGTATTTATTTGTCCCTTCCACGAGTGAGCAACGGAGAGAAACAGAAAGACACACAAACAGCACTTCTGACAGGATCGTGATGCCCAGCAGTTCCGGACTGTGAGCTGACCTGCACCCAGCATTGCAGGGCGGGCTCTGGAGGTGAGCCTGGAACCTCCTCACAGAGCAGCGTGTTGTATCAGTACATCACCATCTGGCCCCAATACAGCCCCCCAATACAGCCCCATCCCGAGGTACTGGGGGTGAGGACATGAATTTGGGGATGAGGACACAATCCGGCCCATAACACCATCGTGTGCCCCATGGCTATGACTCATTGGGCCAAACCTATCAGAGCTGGGATGAGAAGATGGATCTCTGGCTAGCCCTCTGCTGGAGAAGTGGCATGGCCCTTCAGAGCCCAACTGACCTCATCTGCATGTGAGACGAATAATGCCCTGCATTTAAATGGTGCCTTCAGGGTTGAGTGGTTTAGAAGACTGCTCCCAAAGAGTTATTACTTCCTGGGGAGTGAGGGTGCACCACTTGGGCCAGCCTTCTACCAGTTTTCGCCAGGCTGTGGGCCCCTGACGGGGGGTCATATTAACAGTGAGAAATGCCTCTGGACATGTAAATCAGCTCCCTTGTGTCTCTTTAAAAAAAAATAAAGGCTTGCTGTTATTTCTTTCTTTCCTTTTTAAGGTTTTTGCCATAGAGCATGTGGGCTCACCAGAGAGAGACAAAGAGAGGGAAAGTGGAAAATCACCCCCCGGGGAGACGGCCACATTGCAATCCCCTCTCCTCCGGATATCTTTGGCATGCATGCGCACCCAATATGATTTTCAAGCCACCGAGTCCAGGACCTAAACTGTGGTCAGCCATGAGGGAGTCCAGCGCCTTAACCACTATGCACCTTCTAGCTGCAACCTTGCTGTTATTGGGAGCCTCGGAAGCCCCAGGCTGCTCATGTGCTTCTGCTCTGTCTCTCCCATGCCCACCTTGTTGGCATCCACTCACAGCTATTCCTCCAGGCCTTAGCATGCACGGAGGTTGGGCCAAGTCCCAGCTCTGACCCTGGATTCCCCAAAAGCTGTAGATTTTCAAGGTGCCCAGTGAGGTCTCTTACCTTCCAGGCTCAGAGCCACGCCATGCCACATTCCCCACTGAAGAAGTACGTGCTCCAGCCCCGCCCAGTGTCAGGTGTTCACCCTCTGTCCCCTATGCCTTGCAAAGTCTCTCCTGATGACCCTAGAGGTGCCTAGAGGCTCTGCAAGGCTCTCTCTGCAGGGTTCAGGCCAAATCCAGGAAGCAGTCACCTGTCATTCCCCATTCTAACTCCATGTAAATCAAGTTGGGTTAATCAGTATGAGGCCCCAACCCCTACCCAGCGGGCTATGAGCGGTCTGCATATCCCAGGTCCCAGCCAGCCAGAAAGTGTCTGGCCACTCTGGGGGTGCCAGTTTTCGCCAGGCTGTGGGCCCCTGACGGGGGGTCATATTAACAGTGAGAAATGCCTCTGGACATGTAAATCAGCTCCCTTGTGTCTCTTTAAAAAAAAATAAAGGCTTGCTGTTATTTCTTTCTTTCCTTTTTAAGGTTTTTGCCATAGAGCATGTGGGCTCACCAGAGAGAGACAAAGAGAGGGAAAGTGGAAAATCACCCCCCGGGGAGACGGCCACATTGCAATCCCCTCTCCTCCGGATATCTTTGGCATGCATGCGCACCCAATATGATTTTCAAGCCACCGAGTCCAGGACCTAAACTGTGGTCAGCCATGAGGGAGTCCAGCGCCTTAACCACTATGCACCTTCTAGCTGCAACCTTGCTGTTATTGGGAGCCTCGGCAGCCCCAGGCTGGTGATGTGCTTCTGCTCTGTCTCTTCCATGCCCACCTTGTTGGTATCCTTCCACGAGTGAGCAACGGAGAGAAACAGAAAGACACACAAACAGCACTTCTGACAGGATCGTGATGCCCAGCAGTTCCGGACTGTGAGCTGACCTGCACCCAGCATTGCAGGGCGGGCTCTGGAGGTGAGCCTGGAACCTCCTCACAGAGCAGCGTGTTGTATCAGTACATCACCATCTGGCCCCAATACAGCCCCCCAATACAGCCCCATCCCGAGGTACTGGGGGTGAGGACATGAATTTGGGGATGAGGACACAATCCGGCCCATAACACCATCGTGTGCCCCATGGCTATGACTCATTGGGCCAAACCTATCAGAGCTGGGATGAGAAGATGGATCTCTGGCTAGCCCTCTGCTGGAGAAGTGGCATGGCCCTTCAGAGCCCAACTGACC